CCAAGTGAGACTCCAACTCAAAAAAAAAAAAAAAAAAAAATGTTACTCTATAAAGACAGCACTGCTACCTACTTTTTCTTCTGCAGGGGTAGGCAGAAAACATTCATCCTTAAATACTCATCTCTGTTTATGTGCATATTTCTCTCCTTCCTCTTTGTTTGGTTTTTGCTTTTTTTTTTTAGTTGAAGTCTCACTCTGTCACCCAGGCTTGAGTGCAATGGCATGCTCACAGCCACCGCATCCTCGACCTGCTGGGCTCAGGTGATTCTTATGCCTCAGCCATCCAAGTAGCTGGATGTATATGCACGCACCACCATACCCAGCTAACTTTTTGATTTATTGTAGAGATGAGGTCTTGCCAAGTTGTATAGGCTACTCTCAAACCTGTGGATTCAGGCCGTCCTCTCACCTGGCCTCCCAAAGTGCTGGGATTATAGGCGTGAGCCACCACACCCAGCCACATCTTTGTTTTAAAAGGATAGTTCACATGACGGTTGCAGAGATGGACTGTTGAGGGCTGGATTCTTGTTGATGGCCCACTTCGAGGTGGTGAGAGGAGGCAGTGCCTGTCCAAAATTATCATCACTAACTCATCACTAGTGAAGAGCCCTCACATTGCATTTTAGGAAGGATCTTCTTTACAAAAACAAATTGTGGTGAGCTAATGATCTCTTCACTTATACCAATTCTGTGGTTCAGATAAGAGCTGCCACCACCTACTTTGTTTACCCCGGCCCTTCAAAGTGGGCAGCGCAAAAGTAGAGGCTCCAGAGATGTCGCGGCAAGTGACCACAACCAACTGGTGCTGCCTAGAGTACTTAGTACATTAGAGATCACTGGGCTTTTATTTCACCTCCATCCAGAATAAATAAGCATGTGTGTCAGAACCTGGCCACTTAAAGCAACTACATGCCATGCAAAGCAGCCTTCTTGCAGTCTTGGGATTAACATGCAAGTTGTTCAAATATTGAACCTCCCCAAAGAATGTGATTTGTGGGAATGTTGCTGAGTTATGGGCAGTGCAAGGTCTGAGCATCTTGAGCTGCCAGGGTTGCAGACAGAAGTCCACCCCTCTGGAGGGAGCTTCACACCTTCAGGCCTCAGGACCCGTCTGTGAACTGGCGAGCCATTTACACCATTCTACCTGGATCCAATGTAGGCAATTGGTTGACAAGAATTGACCGCAGAATTTAAGATAGTGCAATGAGCATTTGCCACAAGTGCTCAGATCAGTGACTTGAAACCGCAGGCACCGCAGAACCGGCACTGTCATAGCTCAGACAGATATGTGTGGTGTTCGCTTCCTGTGACTGCCATAACACATTTCCACAAATTGGGTGACTTAGAATAACAGCATTTATCCTCTGGAGCATTCTAGAGGCCAGATCTGTCAAGAGGCTAGAGGTGTCAAAGGGCCACATTCCCTTGGGGGACTCTAGAGAGGAATCCTTGGTCTCTTCCAGCTTCTGGTGGCTGCTGGCATTCCCTGGCTTATGGCCATGGTCACATCACCTCTTCTTTTGTCTGTGTCTTTTTCTTCTCTGTCTCCAATCTCCTTTTGCCCTCTTCTTATAAAGAGACCCCGCTGGGCTCGGTGTCTCAGCCTGTAATCCCGCGCCTTTGGGAGGCTGAGGTGAGTGGATTGCCTGAGCCCGCGGGTTCGAGACCCACCTGGGCAGCGAGACCTAATCTCTACACTAAATCAAAAAAAATCAGCCAGGCGTGGTAGCGCATGCCTGTAATTCCGGCTACTTGGAAGGCTGAGGCGGAAGGATCGCCGGACCCCAGCGGGCGAGACTGCGGTGGCCGGGAGCGGCCACTGCACTCCAGTCTGGGCGACAGAGTGAGACTCCAACTCAAAAAAATAAAAAATAAAAATAATAAAGAGACCCCAGTAATCCAGGGTTACTTATCTCAAGATCCTCAATTACATATGCAGAGGGACTCTTTCCAAGTAAGGCCACATTCAGTGGTTCTGGGGTCCAGACATGGACCTTCCTGGGAACTAGCACTCGGCTGTTTCTATTTTTTGTTTTTGGGAATTGGAGTCTCACTGTCACCCAGGCTGGAGTGCAGTGGCACACTCACGGCCAGCATAGCCTCGACCTTCTGGGTTCAGGCAATCCTTCAGCCTCAACCTTTCAGGTAGCTGGAACTACAGGCGTGCACTGCCACACCTGGCTTTCTTTTTTTTTGTAGAGACAGGGTCTCGCCAAGTTGCCCAGGCTGGTCTCGAACCCTGGACTCAGGCAATCCTCTCGCCTCGGTACCCCCTAAGTGCTGGGATGACAGGCTTGAGCCACCGCAGCGGCCATGTTTGTTAAATTACTTTGAGAAACGGTTTGCCTCCCCCTCTGGACACCAGAGCAGTGTGGTGGTGAGCCCCTTGAAATTCTTTTTTTTTTTTTTGAGTTGGAGTCTCACTCTGTCACCCAGACTGGAGTGCAGTGGCCGTTACCAGCCACCGCAGCCTCGACCTACTGGGCTCCGGCGATCCTTCCGCCTCAGCCTTCCGAGTAGCCGGAATTACAGGCGCACGCTACCACGCCCGGCTGATTTTTTGATCTATTGTAGAGATGAGGTCTCGCTGCCCAGGCGGATCTTGAACCCGCGGGCTCAGGCAATCCACTCACCTCAGCCTCCCAAAGGCACGGGATTACAGGCTGAGCCACCGAGCCCGGCTCGCCCCTTGAAATTCTGAAGTCTGCTTCTGGTTGTAACTTGGCTGTTGCCCATTAGGATTCTCAAGCCTTACTGGAGGAGCCTTAGTCTTCAGAGCAGGATCCTCCCACCTTTTGGCTCTCTGGACTATATCCAGTGAAGGGGAATTGTCTTGGGCCTCACAAAATTATGTAATATAGTTAGTGTAGATACATTAATAAGACTTCTTAAATTGTTTTTACTTAGAAAAATGAGAACATTATAAAACTAGTGAGAAGGCAGGTTTGGTGACTCATGCCTGTAAT